GTGTGTGTGTGTGTGTGTGTGTGTGTGTGTGTGTGTTTGTGCATACCTGTCTATCAATTTATCTAACTATCTATCTATCAGGACACCATCTATTCTCCAAGATTTAGGGCACTTGTACCTAGGGAGCTATTGAAGTGTTATAGGCAGTAGTGAGAGTGATTTTCTAGTTTTGTTTAGGGGTATACAGAGCTTTAGTGCTGACCACAAGATCAAGAGTCCATGAGCAGGAAGCTAAGCTCGCCGTCTCTGCCTGCATTTACCTTTATTGATGGGAGTCTGTGATAAGGAAGGGGGGTGAGAGAGACTGGAACCAACAGGAAGAAAGTGAGGATGATCCACATCTTTTGTGACATATTATAACTGCTTAAATACATGATTCATAAGTTTGTTTTCCAGTTTATCTTAATATCCTCTTCAGGGCTGATAACGGTCACTTGATAGGTTAATAAGTTACTATCTTTTGCAGTACTGTGTTCCCTATTATGGGTTTGGTTGACCAACAAATATTACTTTTCAGACTGAGTCACATTAATCTCAGTGTAGTACAGATGTTATGTAGCTGTTTGGTTGTGGCACCTTTAAACAAGGCAACACTTGACTTTCTCAAAACAGAACTGTGTCCAGTAGTGTGCATTTGCCAAATGCTTATTGGGTAAAGCTACTCTGAATAGGGTTAAAGTTTCTTCAGTTTAATAAGTACGGCTTTCATTTTACAACCAAAATTCTGATATTTATCATTAAGACTAGACTGTACTGAGAATGCAAACTAATGAAAAAAGTTTTAGAGAAGGATAGAAAAAGAACTTTAAATGTCATATCATACTATAATCATATAATCATAACATTATAATCATTACAAAAACAATGAACAAAGTTGTGCTATTACATAACAATACAATACCAGTTAGGTGAAAAAAAAACTTTATCATATCTGATTCTTCACTTCTTTTGAAACTGACTGCTGCAGTTTCATGAGCATGAATCTGAAGAATAATCATCAGTTCATAAATCTTAATAATACATAGCTCATTACTCTGACATGAATCAATCTTTCACATGAAAGCCATGTTTTTAAATCTCATAAAATTTACTGTATGAACTATAAAAATATCTCTATCATGGTCCCAAAATAAAACCAAATGCGCTTTTGTATTTTCAATTTCACAGGAACATCATAAGACAAATGAGTGGCTCTCAGTATCATATTTATATCTCTTAAGTCTCTTAACTACTTAAGTTCCAACAAGTACAAAAGCAACATCTCTTGTAAATACCAGTCAGATGAAAATAAAAACTTACACGTTTGAGGAAAAGGCATACCATTTCTTGTCAGTAAGCAATGCCACCTCATGGTATCTGAATCCAAAATAGAATCTATATTACTGTCTTTCACAATAATAACATAATGCAATTGTTTTGCATTAGCGAAAACCTTCAAGTTATCTCTGAACACAATGTTTCAACAGAAACACAAACAAATGCAAATACCTTGGTTTATCTGTATCTATTCTTATGTGCATCTATCAGCACTAAATGATGGTATGAATTCATCTCTAACAAATTAACAATTAAAATCTCCTTTGATTACAAATATAATGAGCCTCCTACTATCCACGTACTCTTACATACACTGGTACAAAGATATTTTACATCTTAAACCATGATGACAGATAAATGAAGGAGTGCATATATGTATGGATATATGTAGGTATGTATACATATGCATATTAGTAATTAAGCAAGTATGTATATATGTATCTATGTAATCTAACCCATTAATGCAGGGATGGCAAAAATACGTCATACCTGATGTATTTTTTGTTTATCTATTGTCTTTACAAATAGATGGCTCCACAAGTCCTTAAGTCCTAAAGTTTAACTTATTCCTTGACTTTTGAAGATTCTTTTAAAATTCTAATTGCACTAAATTGGTAATACCATCATAATGATCATAATTTCAACAATAATAATGGGAATATCATTACTACTAGCATTAAAAAAAAAAAAAAAATCTATCCAAAAACTCAAGGAAAGAGGAAATCATTACACAGGCCTACTAAGTGGATCCTTTGTGGCTGAGCACTTGTGGAGCCATCTATGTGCAAACAAAATTAAAAAAAGAAAACTAAAGTCAAGTATGCATTTGCCTAACAGCAATGGGTTAATAGAAAGATTGACATATTGAACACTACAAGATACAAAAATTGGGGATAGTGAGGAGGGGGGGAAGAAGGAAAAAAAAAAAAAAAAAAAAAAAAAAAAAAAAAAAAAAAATAGATTTAAAAAAATCACTTGTATGTGACTGATTTTCTTACACAAAATAAATGATACAATATTATGATACTCAGATCTATTTTTATGAAAAAAGGTGATTATAACTCTAAATTCATAAAAGAATACTCCATATAAAATACGGTTCCTTCATGGAGATGTATATTGAGATGCTGGTGCTAATAATACCATCATAAAGCTATTCATAAAAAAAATATTATTAAGGTTCTCCAATTCTGCAATTCACAGGATGCCCTACCTCTTAAATCTTATTCAAACTATCAAATATAACTGTTTCAGACTGGATTGTGTACTGGAGAAAAGGGGCAGTGGAGAAATTGTTTTCTGCCAGGGACTCCCTTGTCTAAGGTTAAAGCTAGTTCTTGGAGACTTGAGTACAGCCAGTGCCACCTCTGCCCGATTGGCTGTCTTCCTCCTGCTCTGGGCCTGAAGGAATGGCCTCTGTAGCTCGAAGCAAGTGTGACCTTGCGGAGCCCATGTGGTAGCAGAGAGATATTTAGTTCTCATGGGAAACTTTTATCTCCTATTATCATAATTGCTCTTTCTCTTTTTATGAACCACATTAACTTACATCTATCTTTAACAGTTTTACTTCCATCTATGATTTTTCATCATAACCCTCAATTGCAAATGGTAACAAATAATCATGTTTCTTAGTAACACATTAGTAAAAAAAACAGGTGGACCTTGTGGAGGGCCATGCACAGTTTCTACAAAGCTTGATAGCAACATCTCAGGTTATGACATAAACACATTAACAAGAGTAGTAAGTAAACAAATAGAAACAATAATACAAAAAAACTGACTAGGACATGATATCTTGTGTGCACTTCTATGTGGAAGGGTGACATGTACTCAACTGCATATTAGATGCTATGTAGGATTATGTCGATTACATGTTAAAAGGGAAGAGAGAAAGAGAGAAAAAAGAGAGAAAGAGAAAGAGAGAAAGAGAGAAAGAGAGAGAGAGAGAGAGGAAGAGAGGAAGAGAGGGAGAGAGGGGGAGAGGGGGGGGGGGAGAGAGAGAGAGAGAGAGAGAGAGAGAGAGAGAGAGAGAGAGAGAGAGAGAGGAGAGAGAGAGAGAGAGAGAGAGAGAGAGAGAGAGAGAGAGAGAGAAACACTAGACTATATGGGTATGAGCCTACCAAGGAATCTTATTCATTCCTATTGACATACATCTATAAATACAGTGCACACAAAATATATAAGACACAGGTAAAATACAAATCTAACATACGCCCAAGATATTCTCTACTTGCGTCAATCTACTCATATCTATCAGGGACATACTATTTAATGTATCGACACTAAATATTCGTAATTACTTCAGAAACACTATCTGATACTAGAAAAAATTTACACTCTTCTTCCAATATCAGATAAAAAACTTCATCATCCTCATCATTCACCGGGTAAAGCATACTAGGAAGACATAGAATTAACTTGATATGATGTAATTACAAAGAGCTATAAGTGTAATAGCAAATCTTAGCTTTTATACAAAATGCAACAAGTTTTAACAAATTTCCATAAAACATGAAGTGGAATCAACAAATTATAAGATGTTCATACTTACCTCATTAAAAAAGGAAAACAGATACTAATGAAGATACCAACAATATTCTATATGAAAAATATAAGATGACAAACTGAGAACACAGTAGAAAAAATAACGTATTATGTCTGAAAGATGACTTAGATGAGTACAAGCAATAATACTGAAACAATATAAAACTTAACTATAATCAACAATAATAAGCAAAAGGTAAAAATGATGATAGAAGAACAATTACAATAATTTTAAGAAAACCATATTCATTGTGTAAGAACTGCCTAAATGCATACTTGATTCATTGCCAAAAATGGTTTTGCTACTGATTCATCAAATTTACTTACACAGTGTACTCATTTGCAGTGTGTTCAATTCTGGTTTACACACACACGCACACACACATATTCACCTGGCAAAGTGACTTAGAGTCAGTGGGGTGGTTGCAAGAGTGGTGTGGCAAGGCCTGCCTGGGTCACAGACCATGCCACTGCCCTATGTGTGTCAGCCACAGTAGGTGAGAACCAGTGGGGCAGCTGCTGCCACTGCCTTTGTGCCTCTCTATGCAAGGTGAAATGCTGTGATAAGCAGGCACATGCTCAAGCAAGTAAAGATAAAAGGAAGTGAGTGAGCGAGTGGCTAATTGCAATAATTACACTAATAAAGAAAGAGTAATAATACAATACAATACTCTTAATCAACACAGTGTCCCAAATTGACAGTGCAAAATACCAGTATATTTGAAACATTCTTTATAAGCCATATTTCTTACACATCTGCTTCACAGACATTCTAACTTTCTGATCTAGTTAAAAATGACATCCCCACCAACTGGTGGCATACAAGGGCTTGTGTCCAGTGTTGCCACAACTTATCTGAATGCAGATTTTTGTCAGTTGCTTATGATACCAGTTATATGGAGGTCTGTATAATCAAGGTATGAGGGAGGGAGAGAGAGAGAGAGAGAGAGAGAGAGAGAGAGAGAGAGAGAGAGAGAGAGAGAGAGAGAGAGAGAGAGAGAGAGAGAGAGTGAGTGAGTGAGTGAGTGAGTGAGTGAGTGAGTGAGTGAGTGTGTGTGTATAAAATCATTGGACTGTTTTTTATACCTCAAAATATTCTTAAAATACCAAACATTTAAAAGGGAAGAAAAATAATCAACAAAAATCATATCATGTATTAAAAAAAAAGACAAAGAATAAAAAATAAAAATTCATCTACAATGAGCTAACTTTCTTTATAACTTACATAAAACCAGGATTTGAGCTTATATATACTATCTAAATATTTCATACTGTAATCTCCCCAGATGCTACATATTCTTGTTATAAGAAACTGACTATCAACTTCAAAGGAATGTATTAGTAACTAACTGTTAGTAAACAATAATCTGTAAAAGCAACAACTATCAACAGCAAAATTATAAAGAAAATAGAATATGCAATGATAAAAACAAAATCATTCAGGAACTATATGACATCCACACACAAAAAAAAGGAAAAACAAAAAACAAAAAATCTTCCCTTTAAATTTTGTGTGTGAATACTAACCACTTTACTAACCACATATATCAAATTCTGTATATCAGCCCCAATAACTGCAACATATGGCCTTTGCTGGTCTTAAGTGCAACATTTGCTTTATCATGAAAATGTTTTATTTCATGTACTCTATTATGCACTAAGATGATGGTTACATTTATTAACAGTGCAGTTCTCTTGTTACACCCAATTAAAACAAATCATTAAAGATTAACAAAATTAGTTAGTGATAAAGATATGATATGAACTGCACAACCAAAGTTTGCATTTACTTCATTAAGAAAACTTGAAAATTGAGGTTATAATTATTAATAACCTATGAATAATAATAAAAAAATTCACCACAAATGTCCATTTCTTAGTAATAACATGTTCCTTTCAAATAGAAGTTTTGCAATGTATACTTTTTGTTTATTGCTTAACATTATAATCACATGATTACTAATGTACTCTATTGTAAATCAAATCAAATCAAATACAGGAACTTCAGAGCTCCTCAAAATTCTATAAAATAATTTTCCAAAATGCATATTATCAAATATTATCTCTCTAACATTTAATATAAACATTTACCTTCTCACTAATTTCTGTGAGCTGCTTTAGTTGTATCAAACTCCTCAGTAAAAATAAAGCTTTAAAAAATTCTCACAACCTTGCTATACTGTCTTCCAAAATACCTTTTTTTTATGTAGGATCAACAAAATACTGTAAATAACGGCTTGATCCTGTTTTGCAGTGCCTTTTAATTATTGCCTCCTGGTCCTTCATTTAATATAAAACCTCTAATTTCTCAACCATTTCCTCCTATCTACACTGAATCTAGCAGACATCTACTATAAAACTGATTGGCACAATTCTTTTTTGTCTCAACACAGCATCTGAAATCTTCATTACGACTCCAGCTGCTATGCCTAATAGGTTCACTATCTTGGTCCAGATGCTTGAGTAAGAAGGAAATATGGATGAGAGATTACCAGCCAATGAATTGACTATAGGCGCTTGCTCATTGTCCTGAACTATCCTTTTCTCTATGACACAGGATAATAAACTTATTATCACACGAATGTGCGTATTTCACGTGATATATAGGGCAAAATATATTTGACTGGTATGGTGCTCTTTCATGACAAACTCCTCCAAATACCACTTTGAAAGCAAATGAAAAATTATTGTGCATACCAACTATGTACACATTGGAACATTAGTGATTTAAATGGCACCTGTTCCTTGATGTATCACCATTTTCAATATCATCATACAACAGAAATGCATTTTTAAATGGAAATGTATTGATTAAAACTGTCCCACCATTAAAAAGAAATTAAATCACACTTTAAAAAATGTTATAATATATCTATACTAAAATTTCAAATCTGAATAAGATTATAAAATAAAACTAAACCCTTAAATCAGAGTGACTCAAATTTCATTAAAAAAAAACTATTATTTAAATATTAAGTACATCATCACCCCTCAGCACAAAAATAAATAATCTATACAAAAATACCTAAAACTAGAAAAGAAAAAAAAATCCAAGACAAACAATATAATCATAAAATTTTATCTGATGTTATTCATCTTATCCTGAGTTATGGAGAACTGCTCTCTTCTCCTGGCATCTAAATCTCGAGCCTTGCTATAGAGCAGCACTCCTGCAATGACCACGGCTGTCCCCACGCCACTCAGCAGGGTCACGGGGTTGCCAAACAGGAGCACTGACAGCCAGATCAGAAAGGCTCTTTTGGTGGTATTGGCAACACTGCAAAAATTATATAAAATGATAATGACATGCAGGACATGAGATGCATCGAAAATCAATAACTTCGAATTTAATGCAATAATGGCAATTCTGAATTTGTACAGAATATAATTCAATATCTCTCCTTTAAAGAAGGAGGAGGAGGAGGAGGACGAGGAGGAGGAGGAGGAGGGGGAGGGGGAGGGGGAGGAGGAGGACGAGAAGGAGGAGGAGGAAGAGGAGGAGGAGGAGGAAAGCTAAAACAACAATGAATAAGAATAAAATGTTAAAGAATTGAAGAATAAGACTAAAAAAAAAAAAAAAAAAAAAAAAAATCAAAGAAGAAAGAATAAAAAAACAAACAAAAAGACAATAAGAAAAGAAAAGAAGAAGAAAGAGAAAAAATCAAAGAAGAAAAAAAGAAAGCAAAGATGAAAAGGAGGAAAATCAGAAAAAAAAAACAAAATAGACAGAAAAATGAGAAAGAAAAAAAATAGAGAAAAAATAAAGAGAAAAAGAAAGATGAAAGATGACAGAGAAGAAAAAAACAGATACTTCACAACCCTTACCTATAAGTCACGGGATTGACATAAGACATGAGGACGTAAGCGGTGATTGTCTGGCCGTGGAAGGAGATGCCATCAAGCAGAATGGCAAAGGCCAGGTTCTTGCTCATCTGTTGGCTCAGCTTATTGAAGTCTACCAAGAAGTACCAGGTGGGCACCTGGAGCATGACGGCAGCCAGGTTGGGGTAGAACTGCAGCTCAGCTGGACTGTCAGGGAATTAATGGTGTTTAGTTTCAAACCACAGGAAAATACATTTCAGTACAAGAAAAGTAAGAAGAAAAAAACACACACACACACACACACACACACACACACACACACACACACATATATATATATATATATATATATATATATATATATATATATATATATATATATATATATATATATATATATTTATATATATATATATACATGTTAGTAAATACATATATATTTGTATATGTGTGTGTGTGTGTGTGTGTGTGTGTGTGTGTGTGTGTGTGTGTGTGAGAGTGAATGTAGGCTGTTCAATGAACCAGTATGTGTCTACATGTTTTGGTACATGCATATGTGCACATATAGTGATACCTTTATAAAAATGAAGAGAAACTTACTTGTAAATATAGGCTTTATTGGAGAGAAGGGACTTGGAGACCACACTCTGAACACACTCACACAAATTAGTGGTTAAGGCACAGACAAAACCAATCAGGCTAAAGGAGAGCTCGTTGCTGGAGCAAAGAGCAAGCCCAAGCATCACTGGGATCAACGACAAGAAGACAAAAGCACCTGTTCTTTCACCTGTAAGAGAGCATTTCTTCAGTCACAAACAGATCGTAACTGGCTATTAAAAGACATGCAAAATCTGCATTAAATATAATAATCTTTTATAAATCATAATGCCATCATATTTTGAGAATATTTCTTCAGTCACAAACAGATGACAACTGGCTATTTTTAAAAAATACAAAATCCGCATTAAATATAACAATCCTTTTTAAATTATATTGCCATCATATTTGTAAATTGATGGATAAACAACACACACACACACACACACACACACTTACACACACACACATGAACACACACACACACACACACACACACGAACGCAGACACACAAACACACACACACACACGAACGCAGACACACAAACACACACACACACACGAACGCAGACACACAAACACACACACACGAATGCACACACATGAACGCACACACACAAACGCACACACACACACACACACACACACATGCGAACACACACACACGAACGTAGACACACAAACACACACACACGAACGCACACACACAAACACACACACACGAACGCACACACACAAACGCACACACACATGAACACAAACACGAACACACAAACACACACACATGCACGAACACGCACACACAAATAAGCAAACAAATTCAATACAATAAATGGAAGCTGATCAATGTCTACTTACCCAAGTATAGCCACGCAATCAAGACTGTAAATAGAGGTGCTGAGCTCTTGACAGTCTCAGCAAAGCTAACTGCCACAAAGTAGATGGCAATCAAACCAAACATTATGGTCCCCAGTCTAGGAAGAAAGAAAGAAAGAAAGAAAAAAAAATCATGTCATCAATAATTGGTCGATACATCCTCCCAATCTGCTTTCTATACTACAGATATCCCTACCATACAATATGTTCAATTATTCATGATCTACTGTTGAAAATAAGCAATTGATCTTTTAATGTGTCCATCACTAATCCCTTCACATACACAAGCTTACAATTACCTTGCTCATTCTTATCACCAACAATGAGTCTATTCCTGTTCATCCCAGTTATTGCCTGGATCACAATTCTATTTCATCAGTGTTTATTATCTATTCCTATCTCTCCCAACCTTTACGCACAAACCCCAAAGAACACTCACTGTAGTAGGCCAAGGGTAGCCATCCCCCTGACAAAATTGGCTGGTTTCTTCTGGCCCAATACTGGCTTGTACGTGCCCAGGGGATAACGCAGTTGGATGAGCCCACATACCATGGTGATCAGCATCTGCATGCCGCCTGTAGGCAATGGTGAAGTGGCATATGGAAAAAAATATGCTTTGGTTGGTTTGGAGTATGGAAAGTGGTATGCTGGTAAAGATTTAATACTGTTAACATCTACCATGCAAGAGTTCATATCTGAAAATATTCTATATTTGTTATATCTAATTTTTAAATATCTGGCTTTTTTTTCAAAAACATCTGTGGCTTCTTTGCATAAATGAGGACCAGATGAATAGTGCAACACATTCCAAAAATTCAGCCTGAAATGGTCCCATTGTTATTTGAATCCTAAGTTAAAAAGGAGAATAAAGTTGTAAAAAATATATGTATACTATGTTAACCCTTTGTGCTGGGATGGCTTGATGTAGATTTCATGTCCACTATGTTAGTTTATTAACTGTGCTTACAACATAGATGGTTCCACAAGTGCTTCATCACCAAGGAGTCAGTTACTAGTCCTATTCCACCATTCTACCCTTTTCCTTAATTTGTCGAAAGATTCTTGTTTATTTTTCATTGCAAGTAGTATTCTAATCGCATTAGATAGATAGATAGAGAGAGGGAAAGAGAGAGAGAGAGAGAGAGAGAGAGAGAGAGAGAGAGAGAGAGAGAGAGAGAGAGAGAGAGAGAGAGAGAGAGAGAGAGAGAGAAGAGAGAGAGAGAGAGAGAGAGAGAAGAGAGAAAGAGAGAAAGAGAGAGAGAGAGAGAGAGAGAGAGAGAGAGAGAGAGAGAGAGAGAGAGAGAGAGAGAGAGAGAGAGAGAGAGAGAGAGAGAGAGAGAGAGAGAGAGAGAGAGAAAGGCAGAGGGAAAGAGAGAGAGACAGACAGAGGGAAAGAGAGAGAGAAAGACAGAGGGAAAGAGAGAGAGAAAGACAGAGGGAAAGAGAGAGAGAGAGAGAGAGAGAGAGAGAGAGAGAAAGAGAGAGAGAGAGAGAGAGAGAGAGAGAGAGAGAGAGAGAGAGAGAGAGAGAGAGAGAGAGAGAGAGAGAGAGAGAGATAAAGAGGGAGAAAAAAACAAAACTAAAAAAACAAGCAAGCATTAAGATAGTCCTAGCATCTTTCAGTATTTTGGATAACTACAACGCAAAAACAATAACATAAAGAATATAGCCAACTCCTTCGCTGCTAAGTGGAATGTAACGAAGAAGAAAAAATGGCATAACAAGCTAGATGTGGGAATTGTTAAGAATATAAGAGATGTTAATCTAACAGAGAAACTAACACTGTGCATGTAAGAAAGATCTGAAATGTCTCAAACTACAATCACAAAATAATAAAGCAAAATCAGTCTGTTGAATACTGATTTCCTTTTGGAAGCGATATCCTAAAAAAATGACCTAATCTTCAGCGATTTTCATATGCAAACTTCTCTCAGACCTTTCCTTCTGCACAATGACCGTGATATATTACGTACAAAGGACATGGGGGTCGGCATTTTGGTATGTGAGGATATATTTGTTGAGGAAGAGGGTAATGCCGCTAAAGATGTACCACAGCACCAGGAAGAGGATGGCCCGAGGGTGCTGCAGGCCTATGTTCTTGGCCCTCTTGCCCCCCGCCTCCATGTCCTTGGAGGATATGCCATTCTGCTGCGTGATCAGCTGGACGTCCTCCCCGTCGTCTGATAAGCTGACCTGAAAGAGGGCGGGTAGTGTGAGTGAAGCCGCTTGTTCTGCACTCATTTTTGCTATGACTGACGGATAATTCATATTGACAAGCCTCCAAAGCAAAAATAAAATGACTACCAAAGGCAATGAATTACAATATATATACAATCAAAAGGAGAACATTGCAAACTTGGGAAAAAGGTCTTTCGGAAGTAGTTAAGCCCGAAGAGCCCATTACCCTACCTTAGTGCTGGACATGCTGGGGAGTCGGCTTCGGGTGGAGGGGATTGGCAGGGACGGCTTGAGGCTCGACACAAACAAGCCTGGTCCCAGAGGCATACCTGTAACAACATTAGAACAGTGTAAGGTAAATGCTGTTACTATTTTACACCTTTATTGTGCAATTCATTATTTGATATAAAACAAAACTATAATTTCTTTGTATACATTAAAAACTGCACTTTCATAAGCCCTAAAAATCATCAGACCACAAATACATTATAGCTGCAAAACAGGTTAAAATATTTTAAAGGTTAATCATAACTCATGAGAAAAAAGTGGGATATGGACATATACACAACATGAATGGTAAAACACTCTACTGTGTTGATACTATGTTAGAAAAAACACATTACAGAAATTAGAAATATTGAAAATGAGACATTTTCGAAATCCTCCTGGATTTCATCTGCAAGCAAAAGAAAAAAGAGAAAAAAGAGAGAAGAGATAATTATATTACAGATCAGTCTGATAAGACTCCTTTCATTAAAACATAACATCTATTAATAATTTTCAATTCACATCTGGGAAGTGAATTTTATGACTGAACCCCCTAGCACCATAAAAGAAAGAAAGGAAAAAACAAAAAATGAAAACTGACAAATCAATTCTTCAATCAACATACCTATTTATTATGCATATAAGTGTGGCTAAGTATATAAAGTTTGTATACATTATACTTTTCATACCTTGTTTTAGAACTTTTTTTAAAGATTAATATACATGCATATAGCTCTTGCCTCTGTCTTGTGCTGCAGTCTCTAATTTCCTCTATTAATGGGACCCTCCATTTCCCTACTGAGTGAGCTGTGGTAGTTGTACCATTCATGGCCCTCCATGAGCACACATGCATACTATGTGTACTACTCCTATCAGTGCAGTTCTTCCTATGAGGGTC